AAGGAGACCTGTGGCTCAAGGGGCCCCTGCGAGGCGCCAGGCAGTCAGAAGAGGAACTCCATCCTCTCTCTTCTGCCTCTAGGGCCCCGCGGTCCTTACCAAGAGTTTGCTGGCCTCTCTAGCTCGTTTTTTCTTCTGTAAGATGGGAGCATTGACCCCTCTCCAGGCTGCTCTGAGAACTGGAAGCCATGAGGAAGAGGAGGCCTTCTCGAAGCGCCTGCCCATGGCGCCTGCCACCGTCCACCTGTTGGGTCTTGGTTCCCCACAGGCCCGTGGCCTCGGAGTACGGGTGATGGTGAGCTGGTCAAGGCCTCAGTGTGTCTCTGAGGTGACCGTCTGTGAGCACTCTGGCCTGCATGCAGGTGTCCTGTTTTCCCAGGCGGGCCGGCCCAGGCGCCCGAGGAGGCAGTGCAGGGCCCGTGTTGGCCTGCGAGGGCCAGGCGGGACCTTCCGCAGAGGCCACACAAGCCCTGCAGACAGCAGGCCTCAGAGTTGGGTGGATGATTTTCTTCGAGAGTTTTCTGGGTCATAGAATGTGTGACAAAATTTTATCAGCTTCTGCATGAATGTCATCAACAGTAACATTTATTATTACAGCTTTCTAGATAATTCCCAATTCTGGTATGGAATTTCCTGAGGACGAGGGCGCGGGTCCTACCTGAGGACACTGTGAGGGCCAGGCATCTCCTAGGAGACTGGGTGAGGCAGGCTGGGAAGGCAACGGTCTGGGGCCAGGTTCCGGGTACAGCCCCCACCCAGGACTTGCCCTGTGGCCGTGGGCAGCTCACTGTCCACATGACGTCTCTGCAGACTGTCTTGGGCAGCCACTTCCCGTGGCCTTGAAGGCATTACGACAGGACCCTCCCAAGGCCTTGGGACCTGGGGTGGGGGGCGCTGGGAGCCGGGGTGCCCCTCCAGGTCTGCTGGGGCACCTTCCGTGGGCACGTGCATTGTGTCACTAACAACAATAGCGGTGACTCACGACTCTGCTCTGGCTCTATTTTTACACTCCCGGGCTCATCCCCTCTCTTGCCTTCTTCGTTGGGGGCAATTTTTGTCTGTTTTAGGAAAGGCCCTGGCTTATGAAAGGACCTCATTTTCACCCTGAGATTTCACTGGACTCAGAGCTTTCCCAAGATGGCTCGTTGGAAAGGCTTCTCTGCCCACCCAGGGCCGGACACACACGAAAGGCAGACCATTGTTTTATTTTTAGGGAAAACGTGTCCGAACGTTACCTAACATCTTGCTTTGCATTTTGCGGTCAGTGCACGAGAGCCAGCATTTCAGCTCTCCCTGCCTGCTCTGTCCAGGGTATGTGGCTGTGGCATCGTACTGTGGGAGTGACCGCCCCCTCCCCTCCCTGCAGCCCACCTTTTCCAGTGAGCCCACCGGCCCATCCCTTCCCAGGACCTGCAGAACCGATGATGCAGCCCACATCCAGGCCGAGTGTGACCGTCCAGGGGCTCCTGTGTTCCCAGGCCTGTTCCCAGCACAGTTACAGCGAGTTGCGCGTCCCCAGGAAACCTGAAGTGGTTTCTGTGAGTCTCACTAGAAACAAGGGTGTTGGAGCGTTGACCGCGCTGGAAAAGGGCTCCTGAGATTGGATGAGAAACTGTGAGGATGTTGTCGAATGCCACCTGGGGGAGTTCTGTCGGGGCTGTGGGCTCAGTGCTAGGACAAGCCATGAGAAAGCTGCTCCACGATCGATGGGCTCAGTTCGGTGACCCTGAGCCAAGCCAGCAGCCCTCAGAAAGGACCTGGCGTGGGCTCCCCCGAGGCAGGGGCGGTGCAGGAGGGCTGGTGTTGCATCTCGACCATGGGGAAACAGAATGAAAATCTCCCTCCGCTCACGGTCAGTCAGCTGCATCAAGATGACCTATTTTCGTAGCAGCTCCAATTCTGCAAAATAAAAGCCTTCCTTGAAGAACAGATATTCTTAAAACCCTTGTTTTTAAATATTTATCTGTACCAGGAAGAGTATGTGCCGTGCCTGCGCGGCCGTGTTGCAGGAGGGTCTGGGGGACTGGAGCTCAGAGCTGCGTTGTTTCCTTGCAGGCGTGACGCGCAGACACGCTTCCTGCTTGCAGGACTTACATTCCTGGGAAGGAGATGCGTGAATGTTAGATGGGATTGCTGGGGTCGAGTGACCTTTTCCTTTTCCCTGTGTTATAATGTTGGAGGCATCGATGCAGGGGCAAGTGTGCCTACAGCATTACACAGCAACACGCCACCTTTAAGAACGCAGCACACTGGTCTCGGTCAGCCATGACTCAGGGACCCCCGGCTGGTGCTATCAGTTCTTTGCCCAAATGTCGGCTTCCAAAACATCCCCCACGCATGACCTTGTAAAAAGTAGCGATGCCCCCACCCCTCTTCTTGCTTTATTTTCCTCCCAGGCACTGTGTTGTTTGCTGGCTTAGTGTCTGTCTCCCTGCACTGGAGTGTGCACTCCAGGAGGGCTCCTCCCTGCCTTCTTTCAGGGTCCAGGACAGGCCTGGCACATGGTTCCTGCAGCAGCCTCCAACCTTGGCTCGCTCAGCGGTGCCCAGCCTCCCACACAGATTGTGGCCAGAGCCCTCAGTCGGACAGGGCTAAGGTCTAGCCCCGAATGGCCCGGGAGAAGCAGTGCCTTCTCCGAGAGGTAGGGGTGTCAAGGGCCCGTCCAGGGCTCGGGCGGCTTCTGGTACCACGTGCAGGGCAGCAGGGCCCTGTGAGGCTGCAGACCTGCCTGGAGGGATGGAGGGTCAGAGGACAAGAGGACAGAGGCTCCCAGGACACCAGGGTGGTGACCTACGTCTGTGGGTAGTGGAGGGTTTGCATGCGAGGCTTGGGGATCAACGCCCCACGGGCCCGAGGTTTGGTACCACCAGGGCTGCCAGAGCCTGTCTGGGGCTGAGGGTGGGGTGGGGGTGAGGCAAACAGACAGGGCTCGCTGCTCCCACCCCTACTTGGGTTAGCACTCCGTGGCTGCTGGGCTCGTGCACTCTCAGGACACTGCCGTGCCTTCCCACTGATGGGTCAGCACCCCACCCCGGGCGAGAACCACCTTTACCCTCCACTTCACCCACCCTGGTGGCTCCAGCCCCTCCCCGGCAGTGGGGGCTGAACTTCACCTGGAAGTGGCTCTGACTTCTGTGCAGTAGCTGGAAAGTCGGGACCCCGACTCCTCCCTGCCCCGTGTCTTAAGGAGTGGGAGTAGTATGAGCTCAAAACTACCAGGCTGCTGGGGAGGCCACAGGCAGCCAGCGTCCTCCGCCACCCCCTGCTGCTCTGGTTCTGAGCCGGCAGGTCTGCTAGCGTCTCCTCGGCTCAGATTCCCCCTCCATTAAACCCTCCACAATACCCGCCTTTGCAGGGTTTGAGAGTGGAGTGGGATACTTGCTGTGGGTTTCCTTATGCTTCTGACATATTACTTAATACCCTTTAGTTCCCATCTTTCTTGTCCTGGAAAGACTAACATCTGGAATTTGTGCTTTTCTCTAAAAATGCTGATTATCTTGGCTAAGATCCCTTGCTAACTCACGGCTGGGGGGTGCCAATGCTTGGGGCGTTGTGCTGACGGCTAGGGACTGGCGGCCAGGTACACCACAGCAAGCTGCCCACGGGAGGGGAGGCGCCTAACCTCTGCTCCCGGGGCTGCGCTGGACTGGACCTCTGGCCACCAACACGCTGGGGCCAGGTCTCTGAACAGCAGGACGCCCTCTGTGGGCTCTGTTCTTAGCGTGGGCAGCGTCCACGGCCCTCATCCTCAACTCCGTGTCGGAATAGCTGAGGCTGTGCTGACAGTGCTCTCAGACGTGCTGGGCCTCCTGTGCTTCTGAAGTGTGCAAAGACATGTCCATAAGCATCTGGGACCAGGTTCTCCAGGTGCTGTGAGGCCTGATGGAAAAGAATGAGAGCCAGGAGCCACGTGGCAGGCCCTGTCATGGGTATGGGGAGGCGGGGCGCAGGCCTGGGGGGTGGCGACCTGTGAGGGCACGGACCTGGGGATACAGACCCAGGATAGAGGTGGGGCCAGCCGCTGGCCTGGGTCAGCTGGAGCAGGCAGGTGCTGGGGGGTAGGTAGCAGGAAGCGAGGCTGGCCTGGGCCCTGGGCAGAGATGGGCGCCTGGGGCACTGAGGAACAAGGAGGGGAAGAAACACGCGTGGACCTTGTGGAATCTCCGTCTCACGTTAAGGAGGAAGCATCAGGTTCAAAACAGAAGTGGGAGCCCTGGGAAGCATGTCCAGACTCCTCTCTGTTCAACAAGGATTCCCGCTAACCGCGGGGCTGCCGTGCAAACAGGAGTGTCTTTCAAGAGGGTTGTGACTTTAAGAAAAGCTGCAATTTCCAATGATCCCTTTCTCACTGATTCTGTCGAGAAAGTCAACAGAAGTAAGGACTCATGCGCTTTCACCCAGGCCTGTGGTCTGCCCCCCGGAGAGGCCATGGTCCTGTGCCCGCCTCCGTTATTAATCCTGGGGCTGTTGCAGGCTCCACTTAGGCTCATCCAGCAAATCCCACGGGGCAGACCCTGCCCCTCCAGACTCAGCAGGAGGGTGGGGAGCCTGCTTCTGAGGCTCTGGGCTGCCCTGAGACCCCGGGGCTGCCTGTTTGTGGGTCTTCGTGGATGGGGGGCAGTGTTCCTTGGGGCTGCTGGTGCCTGAGACGGAGGCTGAGCTACTCTGGGCACCGTGTTGCTCCCTTCATGCCCTGTCCTGTCTGCGGGCGGGGTGGCCTGCCCCAGCCCCACAATGAGCCAGGAGGAGGGGGCTGCACGGCCCCCAGGACCCTCCTCCCTGCCTTGGCTCTGGTCCTCCCTGCTTTGCACAGGAGCCTGAGTTCAGCCTCCAGCTGGCACCACAACTGACCCACTGCTAGGTGGAATGGGCCACAGGAGGGCCACAGGGATTCCTGCAGGGTCGGGGGGGGGCCACTGGGGGTCTGCTCTGACCGGGGCTGGTGGCAGGCACAGGGCCTTTCGGTCACCTCACCTGGTGTCCTTCTGTTTTTTCTGCAGTGAACTTCGACCACTTCCAGATCCTGCGGGCCATCGGGAAGGGCAGCTTCGGCAAGGTAAGGTGGAGGCACAGGAGGCCGTGGCAGGACCACAGTGTCGGACAGGCCGGCCCCTCGGTCCGCCTGCTGTGGAGAGGCCCACCTCCCTGGGTCTGTCGATGGAGGGGGTGGGTGTGCTTCTTGCCCAGCAGGCCGGTGGTGGTGGGGGCCGTCTGGGTGGGCTGTTGACTGAGCTCCTGACCGCTAGGGTCTGAAGTCCAGGTCTTCAGGGTCTCATAGCTCAGCAGGAGCTGAGGGTAAGATGGCTCAGCTGCTGGGCTCTGCAGGGCCAAGACCCCGACACCCACTTACTCTCAATGCTGAGGCTCGCTTTGCGGGCAAGAGTTTTCCTTAGAGGTGGGAGCCTGCTTGAGGCCCAAAAGTTCTGGAAGCGTTGTAGAAGCTGCTCCGTGGTGTGGCTGATTGGCCACATGCAGAGCTGCTGGGCTGCTCGGAGGCCGTTGTTGCAGCTGGAGCCCAGAGGCCAGGCTGAGCCCACGCGGGGTCTGCAGGGCATGGAGGGGCAGGACCGAGGGTGGGCGCCCAGTGTGCTTCCTCCTCCTGGGGTGGCCGTGCCGCTTGCGTCCTCGTAGGCCTTCCCCGAGCCGTTTCTCCACGTCCTTGTGTTTTTTCTTGGCCAGATCCAAATCCCTGATTGCTGCCTTGTAACATCTAGAGATGGGGGTAATTATAACTCAAAGAGGCTTGAGGAGCTTCTGAAAAGGTTAAAATTAGCTCCCGGGACTCGGCCCTGATGGGTCTGCTGTAAATGAATCTCTTCTGAACGGACAGCTTCTCTGCAGCCGTCGAGGGCCTTGGCAGGTGAGGGTTGCGCCCCCTCCGTCTGCACAGCTGTCTGGACCCGTGTCTGTTTGAGCTCTGCAAGCCTTTGAAAGGGTTGCTGTGCTACCGAGCTTAGTGCACAGAGTATTTGAGGCTGCTAATTGCCTCCACTTCGTTGTATCACACGGGGGCTGCCTTAGGGTCCCGGGGCCTGGGGTAATTATAAGCCAGAGCAAATTAGCCCCTTGCACGAGTCCATTGAATCCTCTTATGCATTCAGGAGAGAATGTTTTAACATCTCTCCATGTCAGGAGGTAACTGCTGGACCTGTGCCTTTTGTCGACTGTGCAAAGATGGCTGATGCAAAAGACCAGGTCCTAAAGTTGAATTTGTCAGACACTGACGGCTGGTTGGGACAGCCTCTGCCCTCCTGGCTTCTCGCAGCTGAGGGGAGGTTCTGTCCCCCAGGGCCACAGAGGGTGTGGGGAAGCTGGAGGGGCAGGCAGGGTGGGCTTCAGGGAACAGCAGTGGAACCGGCAGCGGAGGACACCAGCGGTGACCGGGTTTCTGGAGGGGTGGTTTCTATGGGGAGACACAGGGGTCATCCAGGCATTTGGAAAATGGGCCGAGGAGGCATGCTGAGGACTCTCAGGCACAGGCTAACCTGAGGCAGGTGAGGCTGGTGGGCATGGCGCCCAGCAGCCGCTTTCCTGTCCCCACCTCTTCTCCACCCCACCGTTCCCCTCCAGCAACTCGTGCACACAGCTGGGCAGCCTTCCCATCCCCACAGTGTCTGCAGAGCCCCAGGATTCTGTCTTCTCTGACCAGTTCTTGGCTTTGGAGAACCAGCTGGCCACAGGGTCCCGGAAATGGGGCTCTGCAGAGTGGGGTGACAAGAGGAAGCCGTGGGATCCTGTCGGGGTTTTGTTTTCAGATGGAAGTTATGGCTTAATTGGAGGGCTCCTTCCTGCTCCCTAATTAGGCTGCCTAATTAGGCCTCCAGGGGTCTCTGGGCTGCAGTTGCTGGTTGCCGGGTGGGTGTCTGGAATGTGGGGAAGGCCAGGGCCCACCACAGTCCTGGACACTGGTCCTTCCAGCTGCTCTCAGTGGCCAGGGCAGTGACCCCATGAGGAGAAGGAATGAGGGTTTGGAAACTCATTGGGGCTTGAGAAGGCTGGCTCTGAGTGTGCGTGGCTGGGCCCCTGTGTGCGTCTGTGTATCCGCGGCCTCATTTCCGAGGGTGTGCACAGGCTCAGCCACGTGGGACCCCACAGTGAAGACTGGCTTTATGAACTGCTCTCGGTCATCTGGATGTGAACATTCAGATGCCCTCCTTCACGAGTAGAGGCAAAGTGGTTGGTGTGTGTCTGTCACGACCAGTCAGTTCCAGTGAAATGGCCGTTTACTCTCTGGGGCGATAATTTCTGGAAATGAATTATCCAACTTGCTGTATCTGGTCCTTGGGTATAAAGACTGGTTATTGTTTTTTAAATGTTTTTATTGTGGTAAATTACACATAACATAAAATTTACCGTTTTAACCATTTTTAAGTGCACAGTCTGATGACATTAAGCTCGGTCTCATTGTCATGCAGCCACCATCCATCTCCAGAACTCTTTTCATCTTGCAAAACTGATGTTTCACGTCCTTATTTAACATTAAGGCCCCTCCCACTCCCTGGGCCCTGGCGCCCACCATCCACTTTCTGTCTGTGAATCTGACTGCTCCAGGGACCTCGTATAAATCGATCATACAGTATTGGCCCTTTTGTGTCTGGCTTATTTCACTGAGCAGAATGTCCTCAGGCTCATCCATGTTATAGCAGGTGCCAGAATTTCCTTCCTTTTAAAGGCTGAATAATGTTCCACTCTATGGCTATGTCACATTTCATTTATCCACTCATCTGTTGAGGGACACTTGGGTTGCTTCCATGTTTTAGCTATTGTGAACCATGCTGCTGTGAACGTGAGTGTGCAAATATCTGTTAGAGATCCTACTTTCAGTTATTTTGGGTATATACCCAGAAGTGGAATTACTGGATCATATGGCAATTCTTTTTTATTTTATTTTTTTAAAGATTTTATTTTTTCCTTTTTCTCCCCAAAGCCCCCTGGTACATAGTTGTATATTCTTCGTTGTGGGTCCTTTTAGTTGTGGCATGTGGGACGCTGCCTCAGCGTGGTTTGATGAGCAGTGCCATGTCCGCGTCCAGGATTCGAACCAACGAAACACTGGGCCGCCTGCAGCGGAGCACGCGAACTTAACGACTCGGCCACAGGGCCAGCCCTGGCAATTCTATTTTTAATTTTGGGAGGACCCTCCATACTGTTTTCCACAGTGACTGCACCATTTACATTCCCACCAATGGTGCACAGCATTCCAGTTTCACCACGTCCTCACCAGTACTTCTTGTTTCCTGGGTTTTTGGTAGTGGCCATCCCAGGCATGTGAGGTAGTGTCTTATTGTGGTTGTGATTTGTGTTCCCTGATGGTCACAGAGACTGACGTTGAGGTCCCATCGGTGGCATACTCATCTCTAGTGAGGAACCGTGTGAGCGCCGGGCTCCTCGGGCCTGCGAGTCCCCAGGTGTCTGCAGAGGAAGGGACTGGGCGCCCGCAGGCCTCCTGTTGGGGACTGGGGTTTGATTTTGTTGAAGTTGTTTTCACTGAACAGCAGGACAGTGACATTTTTATTCAGAGCAGAGACTAGTGGAATGCCTCCTGCAAGGAGAGAGTAGTCGGGTGGTCCAGGGCTCAGGAGGGCAGATCAAGTCAGAGATGCATAAATAGAAAGATTAGCATGAAGTTTCGAAGTGAAGATGAGTGAAAATTAGAAGGACCAGCTGGCTGGAGCTCCCGTTTTCAGTTCCCAGTCAGAGGACATCCCTGCCCCACAGTGGGAGTCACCCTCTTAGCGCCAGCTTCCAGGTTTATCCCTCGTTCATTCGCTCACTCCTCATCGAGCCTGAACTGCGTGCCTGGGTGTCCTCTGCTTGGGGGCAGCAGGCCCTGGTGGCCCACCTGGCTCAGGCATCAGAACTTAATGCCTGGCTCTCTTTGCTGAGCTGGAGCCCCAAGAAGAATCCCAGAGGAACTCTGGAAGTCTCCATGGGAAGGACATTTGCTGGATGGACTCGCTCTTCTCCTGGGCATCCTCTCTCCCGGCAATCGCTGGTTGGCCTTGAACAGCTTGGCACGTGTCTATCCCATTGATACCTGCTATTGGAGAAGTCATGTCCCAGGGGAGATGATTTTGCTCTCCAGGGCAGAGCAGAAGCTGGTGGTGGTTTTGTGGGCCGTGAGAACACAGCATCCCCTGAGTTGAGGGCTGGAGAGGGCTCTGTCCCTGGTTCTTCTGGGACGTCATGACCACCTGACCACGTGAGGAGGCTGGCACCATCCTCGGTGCAGAGAAGCCAGGAGAGAGCCATGCTGCCGATGGGACACTCTCCCCACCATCGTGCCTGTGCATGGTGTCCACCCAGCTCTGGGAACTGGGAGGTTTCGCACCGCTGTGCCTGGTCTCGTATGAGCCCCCAGGCGTGGGCCTCACTCAGTGGGGGACAGGTGAGCGCCACAGGTGTGTTTGGACTGTGGGTCTCCATGGTGACACGTGTGGCAGCCCTCAGCCAGGGACTGAATGCGCCATATCTGGGATCTCAGATCGCAAGTGACAGACACTTCATTCAAGCGAGCTGCAAAGTGGGTAGCAGATATTAGCTAAGGGTGGGGAAGGGCAGGGGTGGCTGGTTCCCAAGGCAGCTGAGCTGGGCTGGGATCCTGCCAGGGCTAGGTGGCCGCTGCCCGCCTGGGCCCTCTCTCACCAGCCACAGTGGGGACTCGCCTGCTCAGCCCTGGGTGGCCCCCGAGCTCCATGGCCTGGGACAACCAGGCTGCTCTCTTCCCGCCCTGGGATGAGCTAGCGCAGGGCAGCCCTTCTTGGCCTGGCGCAATCCTGTGCTCCTGTGCTGCATCTTTCTCTGCAAATGAGGGTGTAGTGGTCTACAGAGATTTGTTACAAAGCAGACGGTGCTCAGGGGCGCTGGGATAGCCCCTGGGGGCTGGGCAGCCCCCACTCTGTGCTCACTGTCCCCGCCGGTTCAGAGCGTCTGCTGGAGCAGAAGCAGCAGCTGGCTGAGATCTGAAGGCGGGGTTCGTCTGCAGTGCTGGCGTGGAGTGGGGAGTCCAGCGGCGGGGCGTGTCGGCTCAGAGCCTTGCCTTTGGGGGCCCCCGGC